AATCTAAGCTGGGGGGAACGCTCTTATTCTGTCCAGTGGTGAGTGTCGCCAGTGTTCGTCTGGTACACACCAAGCACTAGCATTAAGGCTGCAGTGCTGTTGGGAGTTGTGATGCATTATGCTTAGTTCTGTTCCAGTAGTGCATAAAGGCCAGTGGCAATCAGGGTCCCATTGTGCTAGGTGCAGCATGTACCCAGAAGTGCTGGTCCCTGCCCTGATGAGTTTATAGTCTAAATAAACAAGCCAGACAAGAAGGGCAGAAAGGGTGGACTCTTGTCTCCATTGGACAGAAAGGAAGCCCAGAGCCTCACAATGGTCTAAGGTGTCTTGATTTCCCCTCCCATTTCACAGTGGCTCCCCTGTTTCCTGTTGCATTCTAGGGCCACCCAGACAACAGCTACAAGTACCAGACAACAGCAGTCCTGCGGTGTTGGCTTAGGTCTCCAGCCCAGTCTGGCCCAATCTCACTGTCTTGGGAAGCCAAGTCCTCCCTGTATATTTCTTATACCTGGGTTATAAATAGTCCTGTTGTTTAAAGAAACGCTGTATTACAGAGCAGCCATGTGTCAGCAGCCTAGTAGCCTCATAGTGTGTTCACATCTCCTAACAGCTGTCCCATCAGGCAGCATAGCAGACTCACTGCACTAGGAGAGGCTGATGCTTAGCTCCCTGTCTTGCTTCTGCACCCACTGAGGTAAACTCCTCTGTCTTTTGCTGTGTGTCGGGGAGACCTCACACCCCACCAATGAATGCTCTTATGGGCCTCACCTCCTCTACTGATTGATACTCACTGTAGGCCTAATCCAGAGCCCACTGAAATCAGTTCCATTGACTTGTGTATGCTTGGGTCAGGTCCTTTGAGTTTTCACTAATGCAAACATTGCTGCTATGGACTGACCATCGTCTTCATGGTCCCCACCAGTTTTGTGCTGCTTGCACTAGACCACTTGACCACTCACAACCCTTCTGATCACACAGTTATAGAAACTTGTGTGCTGTTAGATAAATGTAAGAGTATGAGGGGACTCCAGCCCTTACCATTGCCGAGCAATGATCACCATCTTTCTGAGTGAGCACTAAATGCTCCTCGATATGCCTGAGGATTTAAAGGATCCCTACCAGGATTGTGCTAGGGAGGCTCTGCCCCCCTCTTGGTCAAGCTCATGCTGAGAGCGAACTCACCCATTCTTCTTCACCTGTGCATCTTAGCGCCGGGAGGTTGCCAAGACAGTGTTCTGCCTGGTGGTGATCTTCGCTCTCTGTTGGCTGCCTCTCCACCTCAGTAGGATCCTGAAGAAGACCATCTATGACCAGACTGATCCCTACAGATGTGAACTGCTGAGGTGAGGACAACCAAAAAAAGACTCCCACATCTGTATTGTGCTTCAGACTTGTGATGGAAGCAATATTAATACTGGACTCTCAATGCAGTGTCATTGTCCCTAGAACTTCAGTTGCTGGTTGGTTTGTTTTTATTTGCTCAGTTTCAAGGGGGGTTCATTTTAATAGAAACGGGACAGATATCCAGTGAGGTCCCGCTATGGTAGGGAGACAGGGAGCTGCTATCATCAAGGAGCAGGGCACACAGTATGAGCTTATGGAAAGCAGGTGTTATGATTCCAGGCATGAGGTGGTGACTGCAAAGGTCAGGAAGTAAATATTTCCCTTGTGTCAGAGCACTGAGCAATTAGCTAGGCATTAGGAAATTGTTTTGCTTTCCTTTGAAGCACCAATCACTGCTTCTTCACAGAGGAAGGGTAGGGCACTAGAGAGACCACTCCAAATGCATTCATCATTCTCTCTCCTTTCCACCCCTAGTTTCCTCCTGGTGATTGACTACTTTGGTATCAACATGGCCTCCCTGAACTCCTGCATCAACCCTGTAGCTCTCTACTTTGTCAGCCGAAAATTCAAGAACTGCTTTCAGGTGAGACACAAATGCAGCTGGTGACTCACCCCATGGCCTTGGCTGCCGAGGCTCCTGAAGATGTCTCAGCTAGCAGGAGTATGAAGCAGGGTCTGGACTGAGCTGTGGTGGGTGTTTATTGTTGCAGTACAGAAGAACCTACAGGTCCCAGGCAAGACTGGGACCCCATTCTGCTGTGTATGGTATGTACACATAGTGAAAAACAGGACCTGTTCTGAAAAATATACAGTTGAAAGAAATGAAACAGAAAAAGGAAACTGAGACACAGAGCAGGGGAATGCCTTGCCCAATAGCACCTAGTGGCAGAATCAGAAATAGAACCTAAGTCTCCTGACTCCCAAGTCTGTGCATGCTGTTGTAGTCCACAGTACCTCCCACCAAGTTCTTAGAGGATGAACTCCCATTTGGGGAGGGACCCTAATCCAATGAATTCTCCCTAGCACCACTACAGTGACCTGTTTTAGAGTGGCTCAGAGTCTCCATGTTGGGTACTGGTGTTCTCACTCCCATTACATGCTGTACTCAGCAGGACTGTGAAGTGGAGCAGAAGGGTTCTGCAGCGACAGATGCTGCTAGGGTTGCAGAGAGCAGCAGCTCACCATACACTTGCAGAAAGCACTGAAATATGATCTAAAGCACATGGAGAAACAAAGTCAAGTTTTACTCTTGGAGGAATTTGGCACCAAAATATCTTAATATTCTGCATGAAAAAATTAAAAGTTGTCCACACAATAGTTTAAAATTCTGTCATTCTCCATATTTTATTTGCCAACATAATGCAGTATAATGATGCCAATTTCAATTATTTTGTAATAATTTATTTAAACTACAATACGGTGGATGGAGAATGGAAGTGAGGAGCACTGGAGGAAATTCCCAAACCCCCTTGTCGAATAGTAATGTAGCTAATATTGATCCTTTATTTCTAGTTCTTAGCCAACAAATATATGCAGCCATGTGTGCTCAGTGTTATATCATCACAGGCAACTGAAAATCAAGTGAGGGATGAGGAATCAAACTCACAATTTATATTGACTATTGGCCATCCCCAGGGAAGTCAGTACTAAACACATAATGGAGCACATTTTGGTAGGAATTTTTTTCAGTCCAAATATTTAGACCAGTTCTAGTTACTAAAGCACCATAAGCATTTATAAGGTCATACTATCCTGTACATCACTCTGGCAATGTAAAGGAGCCTTAAAACTTTTACATCTGTTTTATATTCCTGAGGGAATTCACAACAACAGTGGGAATGATTCACTAAGCAGGCTGGCTGCTACATTCTGCTCTGCCCCACACCTACTCCTCAAACAGCCCAAAGCCCTGCATCTCCATGCCAAGCACACTTCAATAGAGAGCACGAGGGACCGAGTGTGTCTCCCACACACACATACACACACGACTGCACAGCCATTGCCCTCATCCCTGCGGTGACTTACATCTCTGCTGCAGAGCCGGCCCAAGCTACGGGCTGACTGGGCTACTGCCAGAGTGCTCCATTGTAGGGGGTGCCGCGTGGGGCTTCCGGACTCGGCAAGGGTGGGGTTGTGCATGCGCCGGGCGCCCGGGGTGCACGAATGGCTCGGGCTGGCCCTGCTCTGCGGGCTGCTTTGGGTTCCCAAACCAACCTGACTACACTGTTAGGGAGTGGAACATGACCGCTCTTGCAGCTTCTCTTTGCTTCCCTGTCAGAAGTCATTTTTCTTCAGGAAAGCAAATAAATATGTGGGGGGGACATGATTTCTGAGCATGCCCAGTCATGCAGAATTCCCCTGGGAGTAAAGTTTGTCTTCCCTGGCTCAGCAGTCAAAACAAATGGATCCCAGCTAATGCATGGGCTGAGATCCCTCCACACAAAGGACTCTGTGATCTTCAGTGCTTATGGTCCCTGCAAGAGCTCTGCTTTACGTTGTGCCTTGTTCCACATGGCTGTGGAACAAGAGCATCACAGCGCTCCAAGCACAACAAGAGCATCACAATGCTCCAACTAAACTCGGTATGAGAAGCTCAGCCCTTAAGATGTATACAGGTGTGCTCTGGTGGGACACTACTGAGAGTACCTAATTCAGGACAAAATGCTGTGAGAGAGCATAGCTACAACCCAAGACTGGTAATCTCCACTTACAAGGACACCAAATGCAATTAATGAGTAGCAGGTTTAAAACTAATAAAAGAAAGTTCTTCACACAGCGCGTAGTCAACCTGTGGAACTCCTTGCCAGAGGAGGCTGTGAAGGCTAGGCCTATAACAGAGTTTAAAGAGAAGCTAGATAATTTCATGGAGGTTAGGTCCATAAACAGCTATTAGCCAGGGGATAGAATTGGTGTCCCTGGCCTCTGTTTGTCAGAGGCTGGAAATGGATGGCATGAGACAAATCGCTTGATCATTGTCTTCGGTCCACCCTCTCTGGGGCACCTGGTGCTGGCCACTGTTGGCAGACAGGATACTGGGCTAGATGGAGCTTTGGTCTGACCCAGTACGGCTGTTCTTACGTTATGTTCTTAAACTGTCAAAACATGTCCTGCAGGGAGGGCAGGGACTGGACGCGATGGCCTCTCGAGATCCCTTCCCGTCCTCGTGTTCTAGGGTTCTATGAAAAAAATAATTTCTGTTTTGCCACGTTGGCTAACAAGAAGTCATACAAGCAGTGGCAATGCATGGCAGGGAGAGAAAGGGGAGCACTGCCCCGCCTCTCCCGATCCCTTGCTCTGTCCCTGCTTTGCCCTTGCTCCACTCCTTCCCACCCATCTCTTCCCAGCACTCCCCAGAGCGGCGTGACTGGGGAGTGGTGCCACAAGGGCTGGGACTGCTGCCCCTGCCAGTGACTGGAGGGGATGTATGGGGTGCTCATGCACCTATGTGCACTCCCCATGAGTTTACACACTCACATCAAATCTAAAAGTTTATTCATAAAAGACAGAAATGAAGGTGAGAGTTGAAATTGTTAAAGGACTCAAATGCACACAACATTTTCAAAGCCCTTGATTCAGGCTTATATTAGCGATGGAACAAACCGCTGGCTCAAGTCAAGTCTCCGGTTACTTCCAAATCATTAGAAGGCCCTCAGTCTCTTTGTCTGAATGCTCCCTGTGGGGTGGCCAGAGTCTGGAGTAGGAAAGAGGCACAATGGTGATATCGCCACGTCTTCTGCCATGTGGAGGGAATCCCATTGGAAAAGTACAGTAACAAGATAGTGTCCAGGCACATGTGAGCCGTCACATGGGCAAATTACCTGTCCATGCATGACTCAGTTCTTTACAGGTAGAAGCCATTGCCCACAGCTTAAAAGTTCCCAGGGAGGCTTCTCGGATGTGGACTGGTTTTATCCAAAGCCCTTTGTGAGTCAAGTACTCCTCAAAGAGCCATTCAACTTGAATAGTTCCTTCACGATACACTGACCAAACGCTTCAGTGGGGTTACCCAGACTCAGTCATATTGAAATACAAGTACAAAGTCATCATTTCAAATATGAAAATGATTCATGCATGCAAATAGCATAATAACTGCAAATCATAACTTTTTCCTAGATGCCTCGTGGCACACTTTGTACAAGGTTTGTGGCAAGTATATAATGGTGCTTGCAACAGTGGTCATACTTTAATCAGCTAATGTCACATAAGGGTACGGTCCCTAAGACCATAAGGTCACCAAACAATTTCAAAGTACGATAAATCAACATCTATTTCTAGATAATTTATTTGCAGATAATATATGCTTATCTTCTCCCAGGCCAAGATTCTGCCAATCACTTACCTATAAGACCATCCTTCCTCTCAATAGGAGACATTTTGCCAAGCTTTATCGGATAATCGTGGTTCCTAACCTGTCTCTGTGTATCTCTTCCAGTCCTGTCTGTGCTGCTGGTGCCAGAGACCAGCCTTGAGCAGCGTGCCAACAGATGACAAGGGGTCTGTTGGGAAGTGGAAAGCCAACGGGCAGGACCTCGGGCTGGACCGAAGCAGCTCCCACTTGAGTAACAAGTATAGCTCTTCCTAAAGGACCATAAATCAATTGGAGAGCACACTGCGAGAGCTGAAAGGAGCCATCCATCCTATTCACACAATCATTTCCTGGCTGGCTCTGAGTCACTTGCTTTCCTTTCACAGACCCATTGGAAAATGCAGCTGCATTTCATTTACCATTGAACCAGCCACCTCCAGGGGCCTCGGAAACCTCACTTCTCATCTGTTCCTTTCAAATCATCTTTTTTGTTTTCCTCAAAGGATGTTTTGGGTTTTAAACCCTACTGGAGAAGCCAGATGACCCATAGTGCCCTCTGTCTCCAGACAGAAAGGCCACCAGATGGGGCGGGAGTAGGAGGGAATGGTGCTGTGAGTGATATCGCATTTAAACAGACAAGGGACAGCACCACTGGAGGTGAATTTTGACCCACCAAGTTGATACATTAAGAAGCCACGATGAAACCAAAGCAACTGCCTCACAAGCCCACTGCCTTCTACTCTTTGCTGCTGGGACGCCATCGCTAGGGGGAAATTCACCCTGGGCAGACAGGCAGCAGAAGAACAAGGCACCATTTCAGTCCTAATGAAATCCAGAGGATACGTGGGAATTGCACAGCTCTCTTCCCAGAGGTGAATTTCACCCAGCATGTTTATACTGTGACAGTACCGTGGTGTATATAGAATAGAGCTGCTTAGGGCTTGTAATATTCTTAGTAGTAATGAGGTTAAGAAAATATTCCTTATTTGCAATTGTAGCATACACCGAAAAGGGCTGCTGTCGCTTCTCCCCTTTCCTTTCTGGTAGCTTCTTCATAGTGAGAGCCCTGCCTGGTGTTCATAACATGAAGCACAGGAGTGGCAGTGTTGGCTAGAGTTCAGGAGGGTCCAAACTGGCCACTGTTGGTGTGCTCATCTACTCCATAGCTTCGCCAGCTCGTCCTTCATTGCTGTCTGCAGCACTCCGCATTACCCCAGTCCTGGCCCTCTTCTGAACAGGAACGATCAGCTGTGTGGGGGTTGTGCTATAGGCAGATGCCAGCACGCGCGCTGCACGTGTCACTAGGTTAGGAGATGAACTAGAGGTGAAAGGGAATCCTGTGTCACCCAGTGACTAGGTATGAACAATGGTTGCACCGGTAGCTACAGCAGCAAAGTCTGGCCGAGCTCCAGAGAGGCCTGCTAGATCATTGAAGAGCAGGTTAGACAGACACCTGTCAGGGATGATCTAGACAGTGCTTGGTCCTGCCTTGAAGGCAGAGGACTGGACTCGATGCCCTCTCGAGGTCCCTTCCAGTTCTCGTGTTATATGAGTCTATGATCATCTGTCTGGTCTCCTGGATATTACAAGCCAGAAAATGCCATCCAGTTCCTCTTGGCTTGAGCCCCATGACTTGTGCTTGACTCAGTCCTCTGTAGCAGCAAGACCAGTCTTGGTCTGAAGGCATGAAGAGACGGGAGAGCCACTGCTTGCCTTGGTGGCCTGTTTGTGTGGGTCTTGAAACTCAGGGACACGGTTCAGAGACCTCTAGATAAAACCTCAGGTGCTGCAAGAGGTGGTACTGGAAATTCCTTAGGACATGCTGGTCCTACCCTAGCAGCATTGAAACAAGGCTCCAGCACGGTGCTGCTGGCATTGCCATTTGGCAGACTAGCAATAAATCTTCTCCTAGGCTCATCACTCTGGCTAGGTCTACATTGCATCCCTCTTGCACAAAAGCCTATGCAAATGAAGGATGGATTAGCATATTGCCATGCTTCATTTGTATAATTAATTAGGGGCCGTTTTTGCACAAGAGGCTTTTGCACAAGAGCGTTCTTCCTGGAAAAAATAAGGAAGAATGGCTCTTGCGCAAGAGGGGGTTTTTGCACAAAAAGGAGCTGTGTAGACTCGTGTGCAAAAATGGCCCCTAATTAATTATGCAAATGAAGCACAATAATATACTAATCTATGCTTCATTTGCACAAGCAGGATGCAGCGTAGACGTGGCCTCATTGTACAAGTGTCACAGATGGGAGCCCTCATGGCTGGGGCCAGATGCCAGCATAGGGCTTAGGCGCACTGCTCAGAACACGGTGACGCACCGTTACTGACTGTGGACCAGTTCAGCCGGGTTTTGACCCAAAAGCTCTCTCAAAGGAACAATCTGGAATTTATTCCAATGACATAGTGAAAATTTGTATGGGGTATTTTCATGGGGCAGGGGTTTTCACCTCTTTCTTTCCTTTTCTTTTTGCCCCTTTTTCCATTCTCACTGGAAGAAAAGGGGAGGAGTAAAAAAAATGAAAATAAAAATCCTGGTTTTGTTTCACTTTTGGTATTTTACTTTACACACACTGACCATCAGACACATGCGCACACACTGGCAGACACACACACACATACAGTGGCTGCAGCTTCATTGGTGGCTGTAAGACTGTCTAGACTACAATGATTTATTGGAAAAAGACACACAAATTGCACTCCGCAATTTGCGTACCTTTTTCTGATAGATTTTTTAGAGGAGGCTTTTCTGAAATTTGGTCCATCTACACTGGGCCAAATTTTGGAAAAACCTCCTCTTTTGGAAGAGCCCATCTTCCTCATGGAATGAGGAAGACAGGGCTTCTGAAAGAGCGCATCTGCTCTTCCACAAAAAAAAAGTGGACGCACAGACTCATTCTCTGGACGCAGTGGAGTTTTTCCGGGATACCAGAGGTTTGGCACTGCTTCAGGAGGAGCATCAAGACAGTAATTAGGGCTAGTTCTCTCGGGGGGCTGGAACAATGTGTATAGTGGGAGGGATGGGGCCGAGAGCTAACCTAAACTTTAAAACCCTGGATATAAGGAAAACAACTTCAAGCCAAGGGGTACTGCACCCCTTCTCCCCCCCACACACACTTCCCTAGTTCCAGCACTTAAATTTTCTCTTGGTTCAGAAGAGACTGGGACCATGGCAGAGGCCCATTATCTTCAAAGGTATTTAGGCATCTAAGTACCATTAATCTCATAGAATCAGAGAACGGACGGGACCTGGAAAGGTCATCTAGTCCAGTCCCCTGCACTCATTTGAATGATAGCTAAGAGCCTTAATACTTCTGGGGATCTGAGCCAAAGTGCTCACTGCTTCAAGGGACAGCGGTGGGAAGAGGGTCCAAGCCAGCTAGTGCTTGGAATGCTGCCTACTGGGTGAGCTGCAGAACAGCAAATTGTGCAGGTCCCCAGCTGGACACTGTCCCCACAGAGGCACAAGCAGGGGTTTGCAGAAAAGAAATAAAAAATGCTGGAGAAAGTGTCTTCTCTGTGCAAAAATGTTGCCAGCACTAGTGCAAAAGAGCCAGCCCCACCTGGAGTTCCTTGCCAGCCCAGACTGTGTTCAGCAAGAGACTCACTTTGGCTCATCTTTGGAGACCCCCTTGCTGCTTTGTGCCATATAGACATATGGGGCTGGTGGGATGCAATGCTCTTGTTAATTTCAATGGGAAATGTACCTTTAAGCCCTCTAAAGGGCCACCTGGAAGCTCTCAGCCATAAGCACTGCGTGGTGGCGGTAAATATCCAACAGCCTATACATTCAACAGCCACTAGCTGCTCATTGTATCACTGGCAGGAGAGCTCCCTGCACCTTGCAGTGCTTAGATCAGACAGATGTCAGTTACAGGCACCCTGGGAGACTGCGGATCACCATATTGACCAGCCAGGCCCAAAAGGACTACAAAGCCTTGGCCTTTTCATCCTAAAGGAGCAGTTTTATTTATTTCACTAACGTTTGTATGCAAATCAATGTTTTAGTTTTATAAATGTTTCAGAACTTGCAAAAAAGCCTTAGCTCCACATTATAAATAGTGCAACAAATTGGCTGCAGTGACTTTAGTCTAGCTTTGGAGTGTGGTGGCACCTGCTGCATTTTTGTTCAGTGAGACCTGGCCATGGTACCCTGCAGCACAGTTGGTCCCTTGTAGCTCACAGAAGCACCCTCGGTAATGCACTTGTCAAAGTTCAGCTCCTAGAGGCTGAAAGTTTTTTTTTTTTTGTCCAAACAGGAATCCTTATGGGCATTTTTTAACCCTTTTGCATGATCGATGCATCTGAATGTAATTTCCCCAGGCTTAATATATCACCTTTGGACTGAGCCCAACCCCAGAAAGTTTTGCCCTGAAAGGAAAAGAAAATCCTCAAAGTTATGGGCACTTGAAAAACAGAGTTACAATGGAAGCTATTCTGCAACCTTAAGTTTGATTTTCACTACCAGCAAGAATGATAACGCAATGACAACCTTCCATGGAGCAAAATATATCTACATTGATTCATCCAACTGTGCGAGGCGGCAAGTATAATTAAACCTGTATGTAGTAACCATTCCTCTCTTCCCATGTGGGCAGAAAGAGAGAACAAGGAGGGCTTCAGTGGCAAACGCAGGGCTCATGCAGCAGCTGTTATACCACAACCTGAGATACTGGAGAAAATCAACCCTCAGATGCCAGAAGCCAGCTAGGTTTCAGATTACATAAACTACAAGGCGGTTTATTCTGTGTCTGTTGTCCTCAGCTGAGTAATCATGGGATGAACGTTTGTGTGTGTGTCAGCCCCTATTTATGACTTCCCCCTCCCACCTCGGGCTACTGCCTTCCTGCTCACTAGGATACTTATTTTTAACAATCCCCTTTCATTGCATTCAGTAAATCTAATGATCACGAGTGCACTGTAACGGATGGCACTGTCTCAGTCAGGCTGGCCCTGTCGAACACCCCTTCTGCACTCAACTCTGTCAAAGACTCACCAGGCTGAGCCCCACCAACTCAGTCCAACTGCGACTCAAACCCCTTTGAAATCAGGCCTCTGTTATAGAGATTGCATTTTGTGTGTAATGTAGAAAAGCAAACTATCAGGAGCAGCCTTTGCACCTTCCCAAGCCAAATACTTGACAGTTCCTTGTACCACACTGAGGCTACATCTACACTACGGCTACGTCTAGACTGGCACGATTTTGAGGAAATACTTTTAACGGAAAAGTTTTTCCGTTAAAAGTATTTCCACAAAAGAGCGTCTAGATTGGCAAGGATGCTTTTGCGTAAAAAGTGCTTTTGCGCAAAAGCATCCATGGCCAGTCTAGATGCGATTTTGTGCAAGAAAGCCCCAATCGCCATTTTAGCCATCGGGGCTTTTTTGTGCAAAACAATTCTTCCCTGTCTACACTGGCCCTCTTGTGCAAGTGAGCAGGAGCATGAAAGTATTTGTGCAAGAAGCACTGATTTTGTACATTACAAAGTCAGTGCTCTTGCGCAAATTCAAGCAGCCAGTGTAGACAGCTGGCATGTTTTTGCTGCTTTTGCGCAAAATCTTGCCAGTCTAGACGCACCCTACGAGCTTTCTCCACAATATATGCTAATGAAGGATTCATTTGCATGAGTTGCAATCTCATTTGCATATTTTCTGCTGATCTGTTTTTTGCACAGGGGGTTTTGCGCAAAAACAAGGGCTGTGTCTAGACTGGCCAGTTTTTCTGGAAAATCAGCTGCTTTTCTGGAAAAACTTGCCAGCTGTCTATACTCGCCGCTTGAATTTCCGCAAAAGCACTGACGATCTCATGTAAGATTGTCAGTGTTCTTGCGGAAATACTATGCTGCTCCCGTTTGGGCAAAAGTCCCTTTTGCGCAAAGCTTTTGCGCAAAAGGGCCAGTGTAGACAGCTCAGATTTGTTTTCCGCAAAAAAGCCCCGATCGTGAAAATGGCGATCAGGGTTTTTTTGCGGAAAACCTCATCTAGATTGGCACAGACGCTTTTCCGCAAAAAAAGCGTCCGTGCCCATCTAGACGCTCTGTTCTGAAAATGCTTTTAACAGAAAACTTATCCGTTAAAAGCGTTTGCGGAAAATCATGCCAGTCTAGACGTAGCCAAGCAGTATGGACATTTTCTTTTTGTGCAAAACCCCCTTTTCCCTCAAGAGCCTTATGCCCCAAAAAAGGAGGTTCACCGATCTTCTGGAAAAACGGGGTTTTTGTGCAAAAAGAAAATGTCCACCCTGCTTGTTTTTGTGCAAAAACCCTAGCGCAAAAACAGATTGGCAGACAATATGCAAATGAGATTGACTCATGCAAATGACTCCCTCACTAGCATATTTTTTGCTGAGAAAACTCGAGGGCTACGTCTACACTGGCATGATTTTCCGGAAATGCTTTTAACGGAAAAGATTTTCCGTTAAAAGTATTTCTGGAAAAGCGTGTCTAGATTGGCAGGACGATTTTCCGGATTTTTCTGGGGTGAGACTTGGCGGGGAATGGAGGAGTGTTCTCTGAGTCTGGACCTCAGCCCAACTGAGCATGTCCACACAGCTATTTTGGGCCCTGCACCCTGAGCCTGCAAGCTCATTCTCCTGTAAGTATTGAATGCAGTCTGGCCTAATGCTGCCTAAAGTTTACCTGCTGCCTTCCAGCATTGGGGCTGGACCCTTAGGCTTTATTTTGTCATAAATGAAACCATTCTTAACCTGTTAGATGGCTGACATTTGCCCAGGCACCAGCCCAGGGGGCATCTAGAGGGGGTTGTGTGCAATGTCTCCAGAGCCAGAGTGCCAAGCTGCAATGGAAAAACAACTTCCTAGTCTCACAGGTCCCATCAGCCACAACAGCCCAAGGTCCAGACCCAAAGCCCCCACTACCAGAAGAACTGCTGGGAACCACTGGAAGTTTCAGGCTCTCTCAAACAAAGTCACCTGTTGTTTTGGGCTACGTATCCTAAGAACCGAACCAGGGTAGTTGTCGTCAGCTTGCAGAGAGGCGAAGCACTGGACTGGGCACTGCCACTCATGGTGAGGATTCAATTCTCCATGACTTTGATGAATTCATTTATCCTGTTTGATGGCCCAAACTGTGCCCGTGCCACTGGAGATGCCCTGCAGTTACCGAGACAAGGTCCCATCGCAGCCTACGCTGCCCATTTCCATCCCCAGGGCACTCACAGCCTGGAACGAAGCACTGCAGCTTTAGCATTTCTGGCTAGACTCGACGGATGAGCTTAAAGAGGCATTGGCCTAGGCCGACCCCTCCACTGCATCAAGTTGTGTATCCAAACTGACAATTGAGAGTTAAATGCCAGAAAAGAAGGACGTGTGCTCTGAGCCCCACCTGGTCATGACCTATTTCTGTCACTCCCCATACAGAAGGATGGTGGGATGTACATTCATTGGACAGATAAAATCTTAATTCTCTTATTACTTTGCAGCCAATCTTCCAACACCACCAAACCATAGTCAGTCTCTCCCACGGCATGGGTCAGGGGTTAGCTGAAAGTCCTCCCTGCACTCCAGGGCTACGTCTACACTGGCATGATTTTCCGAAAATGCTTTTAACGGAAAACTTCTCCGTTAAAAGCATTTTCGGAAAAGCACGTCTAGATTGGCAGGATGCTTTTCCACAAAAGTACTTTTTGCGGAAAAGCGTCCATGGCCAATCTAGATGAGGTTTTCCGCAAAAAAGCCCCGATCGCCATTTTCACGATTGGGGCTGTTTTGCAGAAAACAGTACTGTGCTGTCTACACTGGCCCTTTTGCGCAAAAGTCTTTCTGAAAAAGACTTTTCCCCGAACGGGAGCAGCATAGTATTTCCGGAAAAGCACTGACAATCTTACATGAGATCATCAGTGCTTTTCCAGAAATTCAAGCAGCCAGTGTAGACAGCTGGCAAGTTTTTCCGCAAAAGCAGATGATTTTGCGGAAAAACTTGCCAGTCTAGGCACAGCCCAGAAGTGAAAGAAGTGTAGGCATGTAATAAGTTTAGAGCAAAAGGGTGAAAGCTGAAAAATTAGCATCAGACTGTAAACACTGCAGAGAGCTGGAGATGCTTTGATGTGGAGGATTTGTGTAGATTCACATCTGCTGCAGAGATTTCTAAGGGTGAGAATGAAAGTGTTGTGGGAGCTGCCTACCTGACAACATTTCAGGAAACCCCTTTCTTTTTCTGGATCATTGGTAGGTCTGAATGGACTAAAACACAAGCTGGACTGAACCTTACAGTGTTTATTAGAGAAATTACATGCTTTGCTCTGGGATTCCCATTAAAAAATAAAACCTCTTTCACAAAGGAATTAAACATAATCCAAAACTATATACATGTCCATCCTGTTCTCTGACATCTGCAGGGGCTACTCCATTTCTGCCTCTTTTTGGGCCTTATATTCCTTTATGCCCGCCTGCAAACGAGATCAAATGGTCAATGTCAATGCTGAATGTCTGCTGAATTAAAAACACACCCACACCCCTGCCTGAGGAGCTCTGAGAGGCTCTCTGCTTCTGAACATACTGTCCCAAGGCACAGCAAGGCAATAAGACATTGTCCTTTTCATGTGATGAGAGCTCCTGCTTGAAAAGGCTGGAGGGTTTAGGTCAAAGGGAAACAAACTGCAGCCCATGGACCAGATCCAACCCTTCAACCCCTTCTGTCTGGTCTCCAAGTGACTGCCCAGGCTAGCACCCAGCACCTCCCCTTCCATCCCTCCACCCTAGCAACCTCTGTTCCCCCCAATGCCTGGCAGCACACTTGCCAGGCCAACAGCCCCTGTGCTTGGTGCAGTAAGGGGGCAAGGAATGGGGCAGTCCTGGGGGGCAGGGAGCAAGGGGATTGGGAAGGGTGGCAGTGACCTCACCTCAAATTTGCTGAGCACGTGCTGGCAGACGTCCACCAGCTCAGTCAGTCCTTTCCGGAATGGCTCAACGGCTGGGAGCCCCCCTTCAGAAAAAGAGAAGCATTCACAGAAAGTGTGGCTGGCTCCAAGGTGGGACAAAAGGCCCTGCCACTCCTAACCAGCTCAGTAGCCACCAGCCATCACACAACCCTTTGGCAACCCCTCTTTGGCAGATCTCAGCCCAGCATCCACATCAGCCTGAGAAAAGAATCCATGGACTGAATGGATCGTGGAGGCTGGAACTGGTGTCCCAAGACCCATGTCCAGGCTGAAGCCCTTTGGCAGGGGACAGCATAGGCGAAATTTGCCCTGCTGTTTATATTGTGGACAGACAGAGGGCTCTGCATTCTGGGGCCAGCAATGCAGCACTTTGCAGCACTGCTAAATTCCCCCCAAAGGCCATAGCACGACTTGGCCAAATCCAGTGGCTCTGCTCTTCTCAACAGACTCTCCAGGGACTTTGAGCTGGGAACCAAGTCAGAGGCTCTGGCTGAGCTTTCCAAACTATTCCAAGCATCAGAAGCTGAGACAACACTGTGAGGTAGGCACGGAAACGGAGCAGCTCCTCAGCCTTCCTTTCGCAATGGCGGACGCAGACCCAGGAGAGTCCTGTAGGTTGCCCATTGGTGTGGACATTGAGCTAGGATGAGGGGGCACAAGAACAGCAACCAGAGGGCACCTTGCTGCGTGCACCACTTGAGGTGCTATTTACCTCAGGAATGAGCCAACTTGCCCATTGTGGAACAGAGTGGATTTGCACCTTCGTGTGTCATGTCACAAGGAGTACCGGTAGTTCGGAATAGGCACCCTAGTTCGAACTACCTAGTTCGAGCCCCGTGTAGCCGCGCTGCACGGGGTTCAAACCAGCGGGGTTTTAAAAATGGCGGCTCCCCGCTTATGCAAATGAAGCCCGGGAAATTCAAATCCTGGGCTTCATTTGCACGTGCGGTATGCATACATTACCCTCCTAGTTCCAACTAGCGGGGTAGTGTAGACAGACCCAGGGTGATTAAGCACTGGAATAAATTGCCTGGAGAGGCTGTGGAATCTCCATCACTGGAAATTGTTAAGAGCAGGTTAGACAGACATTTTTCATGCATGGTATAGATCCCTTGTGTCCAACATACTAGCCTCATGTGTAGGGCTTGACAAGCTGCGGCGAGCCCCACTCGCCAGCCGTGCGGTTTGGCGTGCTGCGCATGCGCTGATCGTGCTGAGGTGTCATGCCGGGCTAAAATCTACTCACCACAGGCGAATAGATTGTCCTAATTGTCGAACCCTGCTCATGTGGCTATTTGGCAGATAGGGTGTGGTGAGTTGGCTTGAACAATGTGGCTATTTGGCCGGTTGAGTGTGGCTAGTTCGCTATAGCAGTAGCAACTACAGTGACTACTGGTCCAGAACTGGTTGGACATCACAGGTCTAAATGGTGCTTGGTACTGCCAAGCAGTACTTGGACTTGACCCCTCGAGGTCCCTTCCAGTTGTAGGATTCTGTGATTACTACACAGGCCACAACTGGGTTGGGATGATGGTGAGCAGCTCTCTCCTTGTTACTCTAGCTACACTGATCCTGGATAGTGCTTGCAGCTACTCAGTAAAATGGTGGGACCAAGGACACGCAGAGGGAGTCTGGAAGGGCCATGATTTCAGGGCCTAACATAGCAAGGGACCCAGGGAAGCCCAGCTGCATTCCTACCTCTGGTCTGGATTCGGAAGTTGATTTTGCTTTCAGATGGGTGGGTGATGCTGTAACCACAAAACTCCACTTCAGAACTACAGGAGAGACAGAAACAGGAAGCACGAGTGGGCTCTCAGTATCAGCAGCAAACCAAATGCAGAGACCTGTTTAGGAAGCCTCTGAAACAAGCAGACCTGTGCTGTGTCATAAGAACATATGAGTTCTCCAGGTGAAGGAGGAGCGAGTACGGGACGTTTGAGGTAAGTGGCTGGCTGTCGTGTGTGTTTGTTTGGGGGTTACTTGCTAGTTGCCTGAAAGAAACTGTGTGCTGAACTTGTGTTTGTCTGTTTGTTTGGCGATTCGAGTGCTGAGCTGTTTGTTTGAAGGACTGTGGCCAGCAGCTGGAACCTGTGAGCTTCTTAACAAGGATTTGAAATCTAGAACCCTCTGTTCATTGGCTGAGCCTTAGACAGCGGGCGGGGCTATCAGAAAGGCCAGGGCTTTATAAGCCTGTGTGTAAGCGACCAGGGGCAGCCAACAGGGAATTTTGTGGGGGAGTTGGAAGAGGGTGAGTACACTGGCCATTCTTTTAAACTAAACTAAAAACAAAGCTTCCTGATTTAAATAAAAACCCTCTCAATAACCTAAGTAGCTGTAGGAGAGAATGCAGGCAGAACCCCAGCCGCAGAGTGGGGGCTCTCCTGTTTATTGCACTCAATGTAGCATGAATGATTATCTGCCCTATGGGCGGGGGGTGGCATGTGTGTGCATTCGGTGCAAGGAGCTCCTGGCCCTCAGAGACTGCGTACGGGCTTTGGAGTCCAGGGTGGCTGAATTGGAGGAGCCAAGGGAGGCCCAGAAGTACATAGGTGAGGCTTTCTGAAACACTAGAGAATTGTCCCACCTCCGGTCAGACAGCCCCTGTGCTGTTAAGGAGGATGAAAGGCTCAGGGAAGGCGAACATTCAACTGGAGCAGAGGGAAATGATCACATAGTGGGGACCCTCCTTCCAGAGGATGTTATGGTATCTTCTTGCACTGAGAATACATCTCCGGGGAAGGGGAGAGTACTACAATCATTAGGAAAAGACAGGTGTTAGTAGTGGGGGATTTGATCATTAGAAACCTAGACAGCTGGGTTTGTGATGACCAGAGAACCGTATGTTGACTTGCCTGTCTGGAGCGAAGATTTTGGAACAAATTGATAAACCTAACAGTAACAAGTCACCGGAACCAGATGGCATTCACCCAAGAGTTCTGAAAGAATTCACATGGGAAATTGCGGAACTATTAACTGTGGTTTGTAACCGATCCTTTAAATCAGCTTCCGTACCTAATGATTGGAAGATAGCTAACATGACGCCAATGTTTAAAAAAGGCTTTAGAGGTGACCCTGGCAATTACAGACCAGTAAGTCTAACATCAGTACCGAGCAAATTAGTTTAAACTATAGTAAAGAATAAAATGGTCAGACACATGAATGAATACAATTTGTTGGGGAAAATCAACATAGTTTCTGTAAAGGGAAATCATGCATTACTAATCTGCTACTGTTCTTTGAGGGGGTCAACAAGAATGTGAACAAGGGGGATCCAGTGGATACAGTATACCTAGATTTCCAGAAAGCCTTTGATAAGGTGCCTCACCAAAGGTTTTTAAGTAAAGTAAGTTATCATGGGATAAGAGGGAAGGTCCTTTCATGGATTGAGAACTGGTTAATAGACCGGAAACAAAGGGTAGGAATAAATGGTCAGTTTTCCAAGTGGAGAGAGGTAACTAGTGGAGTCCCCCAAGGGTCTTTCCTGGGACCCATCCAATTCAACTTATTTATAAAATGATCAAGAGAAAGGGGTAAACAATGAAGTCGCAAAATTGGCAGATGATCCCAAACTGCTCAAGATAGTTAAGAGCAAAGCAGACTGTGAAGAGTTTCAATAATATCTCACCAAACTAAGTGATGGGACAACACAATGGCAAATGAAATTTAATGTTGATAATTCTAAAGTAATGTATGTTGAAAAAATAATCTCAATTATATATATATACAATATGATGGGGACAAATTTGGCTACAGCTACTCAAGAGAGAGATCTTTTGAGTCACTGTGGATAGTTCTCTGAAAACATCCACTCAGTGAACAGGGGCAGTCAAAAAAGCAAATAGAATATTAGGAGTCATTAAAAAAGGGATAGAGAATAAGACAGAAAATATCTTATTGCCTCTATATAAAATCATGGTACACCCACATCTTGAACACTGCGTACAGTTGTGGTCACCTCATCTCAAAAATATATATATTGGCATTGGAAAAGGTTCAGAAAAGGGCAACAAAAATGATTACGGGTTTGGAACGGGTCCCATATGAAGAGAGATTAAAAAGACTTGGACTTTTCATCTTAGAAAAGAGGAGACTAAGGGGGGATATGATAGAGGTCTATAAAATCATGAGTGGTGTGGAAAAAGTGAATAAGGAAAAGTTATTTACTTATTCCCACAGTATAAGAACTAGGGGTCACCAAATGAAATTAATAGGCAGCAGGTTTAAAACAAACAAAAGGAAGTTTTTCTTCACTCAGCGCACTGTCAACCTGCGGAACTCCTTGCCAGAGGATGCGGTGAAGGCTAGAACTTTAACAGGGCTCAAAAAAGAGCTAGATAGGAGCCATGGGGGTAAGGTCCATCAATGACTATTAGCCAGGATGGGTAGGAATGGTGTCCATAGCCTCTGTTTCTCTGGAGATGAGTGAGAGAGGAGGCATCATGTGAGGATTACCTGTTGTGATCCCTCCCTCTGGAGCATCTGGCATTGGCCACTGTTGGCAGAAAGGATACTGGGCTAGATAGACCTTTGGTTGGACCCAGTATGGCTGTTGTTATGTAGTGGAGGGATTTTGTGGCTGCCCAGGGAGCAGGGCAGTGAAGTGGGGATGAGGAAAGCTAAGCACAGGCAGTTCCTTTGCTGCTGTGCTCCTGATGTTCAATAGATGGGGAAGGCCTGGGTCCATGGCCAATAGTCCTCCTCCCCACATTTTGTTGCTGGCCCCCTACGCTAAAGGTCACTGTACCAAGCACACAGTTTCTAGCAAGCAACTAGTTTGCTGATGGTGATTTATCATGAGCAGCTCACAAGACTCTCACAATTTGTCCTTTAAAATTATCAAATTAAGAACTACTCCCTGAATGCTTCTTGGGCTTGAATTCATGACAAGAAGTTCCTCATAAATACTCACTACTGTGCAGTTTCGATAGTGGCATGTAGGTCATGAAATATTATTCTTTTGACTAGATGAGCATATGAATCAGGCTCCAGATATAAATATCTGGCTGCGTCTAGACTGGCCAGTTTTTCTGGAATTGAGTGAGCGTGAATTGGCCTGTTATTTTGAAATAACTATTCCCCAGAGCTGTGTCTAGACTGGCCAGTTTTTCTGGAAAAATCAGCCGCTTTTCCAGAAAAACTTGCCAGCTGTCTACACTGTCCACTTGAATTTCCACAAAAGCACTGACTTCCTACAGTAAGAAATCAGTGCTTCTTGTGGAAATACTATGCTGCTCCCGTTCAGGCGAAAGTCCCTTTTGCGCAAAGCTTTTGTGCAAAAGAGCCAGTGTAGACAGCTCAGATTTGTTTTCCGCAAAAAAGCCCCAATCGTGAAAATGGCGATCTGGGCTTTTTTGCAGAAAAGTGCATCTAGATTGGCACGGACACTTTTCCGCAAAAAGTGCTTTGGCAGAAAAGCGTCCGGGCCAATCTAGACGCTCTGTTCCGAAAATGCTTTTAACGGAAAACTTTTCCGTTAAAAGCATTTCTGGAAAATCATGCCAATCTAGACGCAGCCTCTGTGTTTACACATTCAAAATGAGCTTCTCTAACACTCACTTGAACACTGGCTGTCTGCACTCCCAGGTCTGCCAGTAAATGTGTTCCCAGAGGCGCAGAGATACAGTCACAGTGCATTCGTTTAAAAAGCTTCAGTATGGAGATTTACAATATTCACCCAGCTTCCGCAGTGCCAGAGGTACTGGATCAGATGTCAAGAGACAGGGAACATGGTCCTCAGGTGGTACCAGTAATCACAGGCACTCCACTTACTTCTTCATGATCATGTAACGGAGGGAGTTGCCAAGTGTGTGGTCCTCATTATGTAACACAAATGTCACACAGCTTCCATCTGCCCCATCTGCTTGGACCTGCCAGAGACAGAAAGGCAAGAGCACAAGAATAAGGTTATGTATCCAGAGGATTTAAACCCCTTCTGAAAGTAACTAAGGCCAGGCCTGCACTAGAAAAATGACTCACTTTTGATGACTGGGCATCAGCACCATGGTCACCTACCCATGGTATGGCTGTAAGCATACACATGGACAACTAGGTTACTCGCTGTTCAGTTTTGTTCATCATGGTGTTAGAAAACAGTGGTTCAAAGTGACCATGTGCTTGTTTTTGGAGGAACTGGGATATGGTCTACCACAAAAACCCAGAGGAAAAAAAAATGATAAAGCCAGAGTTTTCTTCTTAGACCCACTGATTTCTAGACTGCCAGCGAGGTGAAGGCTAGATATACTGCACTAAGGAAAAGCTAGGAATTAATTATATGCAAGGTCAAAGGGCTAGTTTTAACCTAGGTAGGTTCTGCTGCTTCCATTTCTTGCACACCCAAAGGTCCCAGCCTTCAAAGGGAATTTTGCAAGGAAGAGTACAAAAGCCCATACTCAACGACCTTGAATACCAAGGGGTTATTGGATCTCATTCACTGGGAGTCACATTCCAGATCCAGCAATAACTGACAGCCTGTGGAGATTGGTACCTAGGCTGTGCATTTTTCACTCAAGAGAAGCCCTATTGCTGCTGGAGGAGTCATAGGGATGCAAACAATGAGGTGAGATAACAGGAAAAGCTTCCTAACGGAGAAAGTTTGTTGTAAGTAGTCAGGCCAAGTCTACAATTACAAGCATACAGTCACAGCAATAAACTGTGTAACTTTATGCCTACATAATCTGGAGGATCTGAATTTACAGACTGGAAGAAAAGGCGAGTAATGAGACAACTGTGCAGGAGATGAAGGGGGAGGCAGGATTTCCAACTGTAGCCTAAAATCACAAGTGTTTTTCTTAAAACCCAATGTCTAGATTCATGCGAGAACCTGTTTCCATTTTAAAGTGAGGAGTAATGTCTCTAGCGCTAGAGGCAGTGGGAGACGTTTGAGAGCATACGCCCCAAAGGCTCAAAGCCCAGAAAGCAAATAAAAAGAACCCACGTGCCCTGGGGGGGGCACACGCCAGGCACCAGCTTTGCACAGGTCTGGGCCGTTCTGCTCAGGGGCAGCCCCCAGCCCAGAGCCTGACCCGCCCCATCCGCAGGGCACAGGCCACGCGCCTTCCCTGCGGGCTGGACCCGGGCTGCGGGTCACCACGTGGCCACCAGCCTGAACCCCCCGGCGCGTCCCGCATCCAGCCGGGCAGCCCCGGCCCGGCCGCGACTCACCAGCTCCAGCGCCGGCTTCCCCTGCGCCTCCTCGGCCATGGCTGCCTGGCGGGGGGCCGGGCTCTGCTGGGGATTCTGGGACGGGTAGTCCTAGCCCGGCCGGCGGGCTTCGGGCATCCCCGCGCTGCCCGCTGGGAATCTCCGCTCCTGGGCATCTCGTGAGGCGGGTTTCCCGCGGGACAGCTCGTGCCCCGATAAACACGCGGGTCTCTACGGCAGCGCAGGGCTGCTCCTTGCGGTCTCGGTTTGTTCCAGTTCGTCATGCCCCAGCGCCAAGGGGTGTAATTGCCCGCCAATGTCAGCTTCCAGTGCCTCGCCCTCTCTTGAAGAGACGCTTGCAAATATGACCTGAGTGCAGCCAAAAGGTTCAAAATGTGTTAAAAGTAATGAATCAAGACCCCTCCCCCTAAAATCTTGAGATTGGCTGAAAAATCATGAAATTTCAAAATAATAAAGTTGGATTTCTTTTTGTTTGCTTTCTGGGGCTGGTACGTGTATGGGTCACAATTTAGAGCTCTTCTCTGCACCCAAAAGAGCCAAAAATTTACCTTTTTTTAACAAATGAAAGCTGAAATGTTCAGGAAAGAATCTGATTCCATAACCTGAGGTGCTAACATAGCCACCAAATATTGTGCCACTCACAGGAAAATTGCAAGGCGTGGTGATATTGAAAACCAGAAAAAAAGAGCTCCAAATGTGCTATTATAAATCTTCAAACCAAACCAAAAAAAGTGATTTTGTGAATTGAGTTTTTTAAATCAGTCTCATAATTTGGAGGGGCCTGGCTCAAGTTTGAACTCTTGGGGTTGGTGACACTGCTGCTGTCCCATGTTAATTCCACTCAGAGGCATTCATAGGAGCTAGCCAAGGTTTAGTATGACACTGGCTACTGGTGAGAGGTGCAGTGAGAGCAGGATTAGGAAATGAAGAGATGTAAAAATTACAGAGTAATTTACGTTTAAAGGACAGTACCTCACCAAGCTATGTTCTTGGCACCTAACTATGCATTTTCATCACTAGGGTATGTCTACACCAGCCACCCTAGTTCAAACTAGGGTGGCTAATGTAGTCATTTGTACTTGCAAATGAAGCCCGGGATTTAAATATCCCAGCTTTCATCTGCATGTTCCCGGGCGCCACCATTTTTAAATGCCCGGTAGTTGGTGTCATTGGTCCAACACAGTTCTCCATGTACCTTGTCATGATCCTGATTCTCATCCATGACTACCTTCCTGATGGCACCAGGATTGAGTATCATATGGATGGTCAACTCCTCAATCTCCAATATCTCCAAACACAATCTAAGATTAAAAGAAATGGCATCACTAATCAGTATGCAGGTGACTGTCATTCTTGCACACGCAGAAGCCAATCTGCAAAGCACTCTACATCTTTTTGCAGTTATCTATCACACCCTGGGTCTGTCTCTCTACATTGGGAAAACAAAGGTATCCAATCAGCCCTCCCCTGCACAAACTACTCTTCATACTCCACAAATCACCGTCAGCGGAGAACCTCTGGAAAATGTGGATCGTTTTCTGTACCTTGGCAGCCACCTCTTCCAAACAGCTGGTACTGACACAGAAATTGAATACAGGTTCTGCTGTGTCAGCACATCTTTTGGAAGACTACGCAAATTTAAATTAAATATGGGTAGGGGTTGGTTATCTACAAACAGGTAAGATCTTGGTTTACAAAGCAGTTTGTAGGAAACCTTGGTATTCTACAAACATCCCACATGACTGGAATGGTTCCAGCAGTGCTGCCTCAGGAACATTCTCAGATTCTGCTGAGAAGCCAAATGCACTAATGTCAGTGTTCTCTAGCCAACATCAGCAGCATAGAAACACGGGTCATGATATACTGGCCACTCTGAATACGCCTATCACTCACCTCCTCAAACCATAGTAATAGAGATGTAGCCGTATTAGTCTGGTCTTGCTGAAACAAAAGACAGGACTATGCAGCACTTGAAAGACTAACAGAATGGTTTATTAGGAGATGAGCTTTTGTGGGCCCACGAAAGCTCATCTCCTAATAAACCATCTTGTTAGTCTTTAAAGTGCTGCCTAGTCCTGTCTTTTGCTCCTGAAACAAGTATCCTTCTCTCAATTAAATTGAGGAAGAAGGGCTTATAGAGGGAAGCAGAAGCATTTCAAAGATATATTGAAAGTACATGTTAAAAAGGGATGCATTAACCCAACAAATTGAAATGACTCGGTGTGAAACACAGAACACCATGCACCAAGCCAAAGCTTGCTTTGGGAAGAACAGATGTACTCTTGAGAGAAAAGTGACAAAGGAAGAAAGAAAGGCCATGACAGCGCAGCCAACAGCTGTGTCTTCTCCACAGTTACACCTGTCACTTCTCCAAGGTTATACCAGGGAATGCTGCAGGCAGACATCATCCTTGCACAGAGGGCTAGTCAGAGAAAAAGATGAGCTGAGCATGACTGGTGCTGAAATATGGGGCAGATTCAGAAGAGGCGAACAGTGTCCTACTACACCTCTGGCAGACAGCATTGTGTGAGATGCTACAGTACCAGGGCTGCCCACCTCAAAACAAGAGGCTGTGAATCTCCATCACACTGTGCAGGCCTGTTCTCAGGGGCGAGGTAGAGCAGAAGGTCTGACAGACATTTGGGGAACATGCTGCTGCTTGCTGGCCAGTGCAGCGCAGGGAGCTGGAAGTGATGGGAGTCTGCATTGAACTCAGTTGTGACTGTGACTTTCAGTCTGCATTGAACTCAGTTGTGACTGTGACTTTCAGTCTGCATTGAACTCAGTTGTGACTGTGACTTTCAGTCTGCATTGAACTCAGTTGTGACTGTGACTTTCAGTCTGCATTGAACTCAGTTGTGACTGTGACTTTCAGTCTGCATTGAACTCAGTTGTGACTGTGACTTTCAGTCTGCATTGAACTCAGTTGTGACTGTGACTTTCAGTCTGCATTGAACTCAGTTGTGACTGTGACTTTCAGTCTGCATTGAACTCAGTTGTGACTGTGACTTTCAGTCTGCATTGAACTCAGTTGTGACTGTGACTTTCAGTCTGCATTGAACTCAGTTGTGACTGTGACTTTCAGTCTGCATTGAACTCAGTTGTGACTGTGACTTTCAGTCTGCATTGAACTCAGTTGTGACTGTGACTTTCAGTCTGCATTGAACTCAGTTGTGACTGTGACTTTCAGTCTGCATTGAACTCAGTTGTGACTGTGACTTTCAGTCTGCATTGAACTCAGTTGTGACTGTGACTTTCAGTCTGCATTGAACTCAGTTGTGACTGTGACTTTCAGTCTGCATTGAACTCAGTTGTGACTGTGACTTTCAGTCTGCATTGAACTCAGTTGTGACTGTGACTTTCAGTCTGCATTGAACTCAGTTGTGACTGTGACTTTCAGTCTGCATTGAACTCAGTTGTGACTGTGACTTTCAGTCTGCATTGAACTCAGTTGTGACTGTGACTTTCAGTCTGCATTGAACTCAGTTGTGACTGTGACTTTCAGTCTGCATTGAACTCAGTTGTGACTGTGACTTTCAGTCTGCATTGAACTCAGTTGTGACTGTGACTTTCAGTCTGCATTGAACTCAGTTGTGACTGTGACTTTCAGTCTGCATTGAACTCAGTTGTGACTGTGACTTTCAGTCTGCATTGAACTCAGTTGTGACTGTGACTTTCAGTCTGCATTGAACTCAGTTGTGACTGTGACTTTCAGTCTGCATTGAACTCAGTTGTGACTGTGACTTTCAGTCTGCATTGAACTCAGTTGTGACTGTGACTTTCAGTCTGCATTGAACTCAGTTGTGACTGTGACTTTCAGTCTGCATTGAACTCAGTTGTGACTGTGACTTTCAGTCTGCATTGAACTCAGTTGTGACTGTGACTTTCAGTCTGCATTGAACTCAGTTGTGACTGTGACTTTCAGTCTGCATTGAACTCAGTTGTGACTGTGACTTTCAGTCTGCATTGAACTCAGTTGTGACTGTGACTTTCAGTCTGCATTGAACTCAGTTGTGACTGTGACTTTCAGTCTGCATTGAACTCAGTTGTGACTGTGACTTTCAGTCTGCATTGAACTCAGTTGTGACTGTGACTTTCAGTCTGCATTGAACTCAGTTGTGACTGTGACTTTCAGTCTGCATTGAACTCAGTTGTGACTGTGACTTTCAGTCTGCATTGAACTCAGTTGTGACTGTGACTTTCAGTCTGCATTGAACTCAGTTGTGACTGTGACTTTCAGTCTGCATTGAACTCAGTTGTGACTGTGACTTTCAGTCTGCATTGAACTCAGTTGTGACTGTGACTTTCAGTCTGCATTGAACTCAGTTGTGACTGTGACTTTCAGTCTGCATTGAACTCAGTTGTGACTGTGACTTTCAGTCTGCATTGAACTCAGTTGTGACTGTGACTTTCAGTCTGCATTGAACTCAGTTGTGACTGTGACTTTCAGTCTGCATTGAACTCAGTTGTGACTGTGACTTTCAGTCTGCATTGAACTCAGTTGTGACTGTGACTTTCAGTCTGCATTGAACTCAGTTGTGACTGTGACTTTCAGTCTGCATTGAACTCAGTTGTGACTGTGACTTTCAGTCTGCATTGAACTCAGTTGTGACTGTGACTTTCAGTCTGCATTGAACTCAGTTGTGACTGTGACTTTCAGTCTGCATTGAACTCAGTTGTGACTGTGACTTTCAGTCTGCATTGAACTCAGTTGTGACTGTGACTTTCAGTCTGCATTGAACTCAGTTGTGACTGTGACTTTCAGTCTGCATTGAACTCAGTTGTGACTGTGACTTTCAGTCTGCATTGAACTCAGTTGTGACTGTGACTTTCAGTCTGCATTGAACTCAGTTGTGACTGTGACTTTCAGTCTGCATTGAACTCAGTTGTGACTGTGACTTTCAGTCTGCATTGAACTCAGTTGTGACTGTGACTTTCAGTCTGCATTGAACTCAGTTGTGACTGTGACTTTCAGTCTGCATTGAACTCAGTTGTGACTGTGACTTTCAGTCTGCATTGAACTCAGTTGTGACTGTGACTTTCAGTCTGCATTGAACTCAGTTGTGACTGTGACTTTCAGTCTGCATTGAACTCAGTTGTGACTGTGACTTTCAGTCTGCATTGAACTCAGTTGTGACTGT